CGAAACCCGAAAACCCTAAGCCCTAAAAACCCAAAACGTGAACACAAAAAAAAAAAAAAAAAACAATAGCCTGAAACCCTAAAACCTTCCCGAAAAGCCTGAAAAAGAAACCGAGCGCCAAACCCCAAAACAGCGCCAAACCCCAAAAACCCTGGAGCCTTAAACTACCAAACCCCATATTTACTACATGCCCTGAAACCCTCAACAAAACCCTAAGCTCCAAAAGAAACCGAAAGCTTGAATACAAGACAACCCGAGGACTCCGGACCAAGCGCCACTCCCCACACGCCACAAACCTTATAAACCCTGAAACCCCGTCCCCTTACAATCAAATCCCAACACTCGCGGGCCCTGGGCTCCAAGAAAAATAACATAGCTTGCATAACATCCAAGCTTAATTGATTTAATTCTTTGAGTGGACCTGTGATGTAATATGGGTGTAAACAGTGTCATACGAGGTTGATGTTGGTACGCAACAAATGTTTCTGCAAAGTGCTGTAAGCTCATGCTGCCTTCACGAATAGTCCTCTCCATATTTGCCGATCCCCTGGCACTTCTTGGAGGTTCATGGGTAGTTATAAGTGGAGTTATAAGTAAGCTAACTATAGTTATAACCCATATTAGGGGACTTATAACCCTACTTATAACTACCCATGAACCTCCAAGTTCCCGCACATCCATTGGGCTCCAGGCTTGAAGGAAAGCACATCTACACCCAGCACTGGCTGCAGCCCGTGAGAAGGTGCGGGGTAGACAACGGCGTTGAAGGCCTCGCAAGATGCGAGAAACGCTGGCCCTATGCACTCAGAGACTCCAATATTCCTTAATTAAGGAATATTCCTTAAATTATAGTAGGATCCTTAATATGATTTAAGGTATATTCCTTAATTAAGGGACATTGGAGTCTCTGGGTAGCCATTCTGGGCAGCATTCAAGGCATTGCAAAAACCCCCCCGCCCCCGCCGCCGCTGCGCGAGACTTGCGACACTTGCGCCGCACCCCAGCAGCCAGCGGCAGCTACCTTTGCAGCTTTGGCCTGGAGCTGAGGCCCCGCATCCACGACGACGTAGCGGACACGCCGCACGGGCGTGTCGGGGGCCTGGCACCGGCACCGCTGTGTCAAGGGGCGCTATGGCGCAGTCCAAAGACGGAGAGCGCTTGTCGGCGGGGCGGGCCTGACCCAACCAGACTCGCGATTCGATGATGGCCTTGGGTGGGAAACAGTGCTCCTAGTCTGCACAGAACAGAGCAGGGCACTGCCACCGCACCTCCTCTCGTGAGCTCTCCGCACTCTTCGAGCTCGAAGGCAGGCTGCCGATCCTGCACAAGCCATCTGTGCAACCCGCCGTGCGCTCTCAGAGCCTGCAGACTTTTTGTTAAGGAATCTTCTGCTTTTGTGGGGTGCCTTTCGGGCGTGGCCTTTTTTGTGGAGTCTGGTTGGCGCATTCCGGTGTCTTGGAGATGAAACGGCTTGCCGTCTTCTCGGATTTCTACGACTGTGAGGCTCACAGGTGTTGACGCCGCTCAGTCATATTAGGATTTGGGGCTTCAGGAAGTGCTGCACAACAACCGCTCCATGCACAGCGGCCCGCCTTCGGGCAAACTCTGACGGTAAGGTTTCCTCCACCAGGTCGAGCTTTGCAACGAAGTCGTCCTGGTCGGGGTTGTCATTTTTTCGCGAAGCTTCACGGATGAAGGCCAAATTTATATGTGTCTGGGAGCATGCAAAGCACTCCTCCACCCAGCGTGCCCAATCGTCAAAAAAGCCCTTCGTACCTTGACATTGCAAGAAGCCTCAGAATCATGCATGAGTGCGAAACAAGTGAAACTTCTCGTTTCTCCACGAGAAAAGCCTTCTCAAAGGATTCACAAGACTCTTGGAACGAACATGCGAAAAGGCTCGAGCTCTGTTCAGAACCTCCCTGCGAGCGGCGGCGGAGTCGCTGGGCCCTGGCAAACTTTCGGTCAAGCCATGGATCGAAATCTCAGGCAGCCGCCAAAGCATGCCCATATCATCGGAATGATTCCGGCCCTTCAGAAGTCTGATCTCACTGCGGTTTTGTGCAAAACGTTATCACTTTCGCCTGGTTTTGCACCCACACTGCAGCAAAGCCAGCCTCGAAGTACAGACGCAACAACCGCAAACCAAGGGTATGACCTGTAGCGTTGGCCAGCACCACAACAACATCGCACGACGTCAACAAGCCCCGCCGGACCGAGTGAAAAGCTGCGCTCACACTGGTTCTCCCGGAGGCTGTAGCTGCAGACCAGTGCGACGAGAAAAACGGTCGGCTCGTCCTCTCACGAGGCTCTCACCCGAAGACGAACCAATCTCCACCACGCACGGCCAACAACTGAGCGAGACACAAAGGCTGGTCCAAAGCCGCCACGACGAACCTCGGAGTTGACCAACATTAATTTGGAACAGAATGAGCCGCTGCACTGGATCTCTGAGGGCGAAACCTTCCAGACGGCTGCACCAGCATAGCACCGAAAGAATACCAATGCAGAATTAGAGTGCCTAGACACGGCCTGCAAACAAATAGCCTTGCAATGTGACTACACTTTGAAGACATGAACATGTGCCCAAGCTGTCTCAGTTCTGCATTATGATGTTGTTCAAGCACTGTGAGCCGAGCGAAGTGATGACCCTTGTGTTTAGTTCCCTTCGACCCGAGACTTTGCTGATTTAGGGTTTCGGGTTCGGGGTTTAGGGTTTGGGGGTTTAGGGTTTAGGGTTCAGGGACGACCCAAAGACTAAAGGTAATGCTAATGCGAAAAATGATACTAATACGGGTACTAACACTGATAATGCGATTATATAATAGCAATAGCAATGATGTCAAGGATAGTGATAATGATGATGACGATGAAGATGATGATGATGATGATGATGACGATGATGACGGTGAAGCCCCACGGCCCAAGCGTGAGTGCCCCGTTCTGTGTGGTGCGGTGGGTCGGTTCTTTGCGGTTGTTGTTTTGGGGTCTTCGGTGAAGTTAGATGAGTGATGGCGATGGCAGCGATAACTCCGAAGACCTCATGGACCTCCTCGAGGAGGAAGAGTCAGCAGAGGAGACACCTCATGATGCTGCTCGCGACGGTGAGCCTGCTAGGGGTATGGCCCCACGTAACGGCCCTCCTCCGCCAAGGCCTGTCAACGCGCCCATGGACCCTGTCGACTGGGCAAGGGATCACAGTCCAGGCCCTCAGCCAGTGCACGTGCGCAGGGGAATGGATGGACACACCAGGGTGGAAAGGGAAGAAGGGCCACTGCTGCAAAACGGAGCCTTTGAAGGAGGAGAGGACATTGCTCTCGGCAGCGGCAGGGAGTCTGAGACGTCAGAACTGGACATTGGGAGCTCAAGCAGCTCGGAACCTCAATCCTCCAGCGGAGAAGAGGACAGTCACCATTGGAGTGACACGTCGCTGGTCCTGGAAGGAGTGCAGCTTTGGCAGGCCAAGGATCGTCTTCTTGCCATCTTCAGGCGGCAGATCCAGGCCACGATTCCAGATGTCTCGGCGCGCTCCCTTGCAGGCAGAGTGGGAGCTCTGCGCCGTCTCTTGGCGCCGGGCGATTGGCTGGCAGTGCAGGAAGCAGCACGGCCAAGGCTTCAGGGAGAATTTCTTCGAGAATGGCAGACCTATGAGTTCGAGGCAACGCATGAGTGGCGACGACGACGGCGACCGGCTCGATGAAGACCAGCCAGCGCTGCCAGTTGAGCAATGCTTCCTGCAACGGCATCCATACAGATCGCGAAGCCTCAGGGCTGCCCGTTTCCAAAGGCCAGGCTGTCTGCATCCACTAGGTCCCCCTCTAAGATACCTTAAACTGCTCAGGAAGCGCCAGACGGCACACTTGGTGCCTCGTGCTGCGCAGCGCATTGGCACCGAGCAAGCTGAGCCCGCGGGGCTGCACCCCGCAGGCCGCGGTATCCGCATTGCAGCCCTGCCTAGGCCTAAGAGACTTAATCCCACCTCGTCCCAACAACCCAGACCCGGCGAATCAAGCACATCACAAAGCATTGAGCGCATTCAAGTACGCAGCCGACCCGGTCCCAAGTCCGGGTTCTATCTCTTCTTCCTGAGAATCTTAAGACAATCTAGTGAGATAGAAGGGGTGAGGGTCCCTCTCGCTGCCGCATCGGGAGGAGAACCTGGCACTGCTTCGGCAGTGACAGGGAAGCAAAGCGGTCAGGCGCAAGCATGGACACCACTCACAATCAGCCTTAAAGGAGCCAAGCGTGCGTTCAATCGTGCCAGGGCCCGTGCGGCCAAAGCCTCCACGGGAGGAACATGGTACAAAGGACAATGGCATACATCCCAGAGCTTAGGCACACTACCGATGCCCCAGCCCCAACAAGCTAGCAGGAAGAGCCGGCGACCGTCGGCATCCTCTTCAAAGGCCAGGGCTCGACAGATCAGTGTTCTCACATGGAACTCCGGAGGGTTGAGTTCAGGGCTATACCAGGAGACGATGGCATGGATTGATCAGCAAGCATCGTTGGATCTTGTCTTGATACAGGAAACACACTGGAAATCCACCAACGACTTCTTCACAGGAAAATGGTTAGCACTACATTCAGCCGGTAGTACTGACCCCGCAGCACACTCCAGGTACAGCGGTATCCTGGTCCTTCTCAGCAAGTCTAAATTTCAGGATCCAGGCATTATTGAATTAATACCTGGCAGGCTTGTTCAGATCAAAGCTGTGCTTCGCGACACAAAGCTTCCTGTGGCCATTTATGGAGTCTACCAGCATGTGTGGCGGAGTCAGTTGACCACCACAGTCAACAACTCCTTGAGAAAAGCAACGTGGGCCCTGCTAGATGAATCCTTGACAAAGCTGCCCCAGCGCAGTGAGGTTATCATAGGTGGGGACTTTAATGCTAGTCTCGTGCCCCAGACCCAGGTTATAGGTCCTGCCATCATAACCAACACCAATTCCCATGATAATGAATTGCAGGAAGTGCTCGCCAAGCACGCTCTAGTAGTGTTGAATACCTGGCATTGTGCTACACCGGCAACATATCATGGGCCGACCGGGGAATCACACATTGACTTCCTGGTGACCAGGCGACGCATGTCTGGCAGCAAAGCCAAATGGGCGCGGCCGCTCCCGGCCTTTCCAGTCGGCTCTGGCAGGCTGGCCGGGCACTATCCAATCCACGCCGTTCTGCATACTAGGCCCTTCTTTGATCATAAGCAGCCATCATCCCAGCAGGCTAGGATCAACAAGGTGGCATTGCAAGAGGCGGTAAGGAACAACAGTGCGCAGGCTCATGCAATGCGGGAGCATGTGACCAGTAGGCTGTCAGAAGTGCCAGTGCACTCCCTGCTGCAAACGCAACGGGTGCTGAACACCATCCTACTTCAGGCGGCGGAAGCCGCCTTCCCTGCGGCGCTGCCGGAGGATAACCGCATCAGCACAGATCCCAGATTCAGAGTCTCAGCCAGTCATACATGGCGGTTGTATCGCTTAGCCAAGAAGCCTGCGGTGTGCACCTTACAGAGCATATGGGCAAAGTGGCGCCTTCTTTCGCAGTTCGCAAGCGCCTCTAGGCAGCTACGTCAACAGAGCAAACAGCTCAAGCAAGAATTCTTTCACAATCTGATCGACACTGCTGAAATGGCTGCCGCCAAGGGAGATCAGCGCACATTGCATAACATAGTCAGAAGACTCACACCGAAAAATCAGCAAAAAGCTTCCAGAATGCAGGGTGCCTCGGGACAGCTCCTCACATCGGAAGCACAGCTGCAGGCCATCGTGGACTACAGCAATGCTACCTTTGCTGCCCAACCGGCGGAGGACCCGCCGACTGTGCTGCCAAGCAGCCTCCCAGTAGCGGATAATCAGGTTCAGCGTGAGCTTTCCAGTTTAGGCATCAGCAAAGCGGTCCCTAAGCACGTAGCCCCAGCAGCTTGCTGGAAGTTGTGTGCTGATGGCATTAGCAAAATCCTGGGCCCGGCTTTACGCTCACACTTCAGCGCCGATCAGTCGGGGAATCTACAAGGAGACTGGAAGGATACCCACATAGTTTGGCTTCCCAAGCCGAATAAACCGGCAACCAAGGTGAGTAACATGAGGCCGATAGGACTGCAATGCCCAACTAGTAAGGTATTAGCTGGTGTTCTCCGTGATACCCTGCTTCAAAAGCTGCAGCCGGTGCTTCGTACATTGCCGCAATTTGCCTACACAAAGTCCAGGGGCACTGCAGATGCACTGGCCCGTGCGCATGGGCATTTCCGCCAGGTTGCGCATCTTCTAAAAAACAGTACGGTTAATAGGTTCCAACAGCAGGCGGGCCATGCTCTGCCGAGGTGTCATGGGGGAGTGAGTCTGTCACTTGATTTATCAAAAGCATTTGACAGTGTTGACAGAAGGCTCATCTATCAGTCACTTCGCCGGCACGGTGTCGATGAAGCCACGATTCAAGTGATTCAGCGTCTTCATTTTGAGGCGCGATACCACTTTACGGTGGGGGACTTGAAAAACCACACTTGTACAACCAATGGTATTAAACAAGGATGTAAAATAGCGCCTTATCTTTGGTCGTATTTTACGGTGGCTTTTATGCTTCTTCTTCAGGATAAAAGGGATCTTGCTTGGATTCAAAACATCCTCACTATGTTTGCAGACGACTCTTGGGGTGCTTGGCTTGTTCAAAATCAGCAAGACTTTGTGAAAGCTAGGCGGGATCTTGAGCTCATTCTGGAAACTCTTGAGACCTTGAAGATGAACATCAATTACCAAAAAACGGCCGTTCTCTTGCACCTGGTTGGCAAGGACGCTGCCACGATCCAGCGTAAAGCCACCTACCGCAAGGCCGGGGCCCTTTACCTCAAAGTGGTTGTACACGGGCGTGAGTGTGGTATTCCGATCAAGGAGGAACATGAGTACCTAGGGTCGATCGTGTCCTACCACAAAAGAACAACCAAAGAATCTTGCACACAGACTTAAGGCTTGCCAGGCTAGGTACCAGGGTCTCCGCAAAACCCTCAACGGCACGCATCACTTGAGCCAGCAGTATCGGATCCGCCTTTGGCAAGCTTGTGTCTGCACCAGTGCGTGGTACTCGCTGTCGGTTGTGGGGCTTTCCAGGGGTGACTTAAGCCGACTTGTCACTGAATTGACTCGTCACCTTAGGGCGATCACGCGTCAGCCAGTGCATCTCACTCACATCCCTACTTCCACAGTGTGGGCAAAAGCCAACATGGCTATGCCAGGATGGACCATCCAGTGTCAATTGGACAAGCATAGAGCTCGGTTGCAACATACGTTTGACACCGCTCCAGACATTACGGTGTCCTCCACTGCCATGCAGCATCTTGACGAGGTGTCGCAAACTTTGGAGACGATTTTGCAGCAGGAGGCCCAGCAGCTTGCCACGGTCGAGTCTGCACCCTTGGTGGTTAGCTGCCCGCATTGTGCTGACATGTTTGTGAGTGAAAACGCAATGCGTATACACAGCAAGCTTGTTCATAAAACACTGCCGACGCATTCCACTCGCACCCCTACTGTTTTCCAGCCCCATCTACATGCATATGCGGGCATGCCGCAGTGTCGCCTCTGTGATAGACAATTCTTTCGGTGGACACACCTCCGCCAGCACATCGAAAGTGGAGCTTGTTCCCGGCTGGGCAGTGATAGCCTCATCAGGTCACCGTGCGATGCCATGCAGATCCCTGCACCTGTGGCGGAGCCACCTACTGCACAGGATGCGGCGTTTGAAGGAGAAAACGTGGAGCATCTACCGCTCATCATGCGCCAAGCCTTCATACGTCGACTGAAGCAATGGGATTACTGGCTTTCTGTGCCGGCCTGCTCAAGGAACTTAAGCACTACTGTGTCATTTGTCACCAGTGGATTGCGGATTTTAGGCATGTCAAGCAGCATTTTCGACGCACGCATGGCAAGGATCTAGGACACCTGGTTCAGATTGCCGAACAGCTTGCTAAGCCATTTAAGTCGCATCTCACTCGTGATAAAAGCTGTCTGTGGTGCTCTCACCGCGTGGGGGCCCCCGGTCGTCATATTCTGCAATGCACTCCCATGTTCCAGCTGTGTATTGCTGTAGCGTATCATCAAGCGCCTCAGGATGTACGGGGAGGAGGAACTGGACCAGGAGCTCGATGCCAACACCCGCCACAAGCCCTGCTGCAGCCACGAGCCCAGAAGAGGCAGCGACCGGAACAGCAACTCCGACAAATGCAGGCCGGCCTGAGGATGCATCCACAGATGCCTCACATGGGGATGGGGGTGAACACACAAGGCCCTCACTCTGGTCAGCTTCAGGGCACCGACCCTCTGCGCTTGATGAGCCGCATTATCTTGCAGCAAGAGGAGACGATCTCTCGTCTTCGCAAGGAAAAATGCTTCGTGTTATTTATCAAACACGAGCAAGAGGGGGTGTTGCGTCCCCTCATGCAAATCAGCAAGGAGTAGCATCAGAAGCAGGGCACGGGCACGGACGCGACACCGCCGGCGACGCCGCTCAGGACTCTCTTGATGCAATCAATGTTGCAAGAACTTCAGAAGAGGATGCAACGGGAGATTGCAACGGAGGCCACCAAGGCGGCGCTGCTCCAGAAAGGGTGGATCGACAAAGACGGGAACTGGGTCTACCTACGGTGGGACCGCTCCACCAAGCAATTGATCCAGGATCCAGGGAGGTCTCCACTCCAGCACTCAGAGGCCATCCGGCTGCTGAGCTGGATGATGAAAGAACTCCACGGCGACATAATCCAGCGATTCAGCTCGACACCAGGACTGCAGAAGGTGGAAACAATGGTGGTTCCAGCATCCACATTTCATCTGGAGGTGGCTCTTCGGGGCCAAACCTCTCTCGAAATGTACGAGGCTTTCTCAACCTTTTCCGCCAGCGCGGCCACGCATCTGATCGGAGTGTCCATCAAGAAGGACAACCTACATCAGTCCAAGCTGGCCAAGCAGCTAGCCGACATCACGTATCCGCGACGCCGCTGAACAAGGACCTCCAAGTACCCTATATTGACCCTAAGGCCCCTCAGAAACCAGTGTCGGATGACCCCCCTCGACAATCAGCATCGGCTCTCACCTCGGGGCCATCAGTAGCTGCATCAGTCACTCCCAGGGCGTCCTCCTCGAGTACATCACAGGTGCGACGCGCTGTCTTGCGGCCTTTTGTTCTCCAGGGGGGAAATAATCAATGTTACATGAATTCCTTCTTGTACTGCTTCGCTCATGTTCTCAATGCAGTGGGGGAGCACCGATTGCTTCCCAAGGTGCTATGGGACAAAACAGGGACGGCACACACTGCCGCTCGCGTGTTGGGGTTCGGACTCCTGGGATGGTCAGAGCCTTATCGACAACATGACGTAGCCGAATTCATAGATCACATACATCCCAAACTGATCAGGCGACTGCCGCCTGACACCTGGGAATCGCGTAGTCTTGATGACCATGGGATTCATACAGTTCAACAAACCAGTGCTGCCAGATGCATCCCATTGTCGCTTCCTGATCGAACGGGATCTGGGGATCAATTGGATCTGCAAAGCTTAGTCAATGGATGGCACGCAAGTGTCACCCTACAGGCTTTCACATGTGAGCCCAAGTGGCTTTGTCTGCAGCTTCCACGTTTCCTGTACCACACTCCTGGGTGGGCCATAAAGCAGCAACACCCCTATCTCCTCCCGAGTACCCTAAACATCCCGGTTTTTCAGACGGCTGATAACCTAGATGTCACCTGGAAGGTTTACCATGTGCGGGCATGCATACAGCATCACGGCTCGGTGCCCACAGAAGGGCACTATACTGCTGTTCTCAGGGCTTCGGGAGAGCACTGGAAGCTTGATGATGCAAAAGATCCGCATGTGCTTGACTCAGCTGGTCTTGAGCACGTAAGCACCAACATGTATGTCATTTTCCTGACCAGCACTTCTGCTGATCAAGCTTTAGCTACAGCTTCTGATACCGAACCTTCGTGGCCAAATGCCGCAGATGCAGCGCAAGGACACTTCAGTTCCTTATCTGACCGAGGCGGACTTGAACTGGGTGGCCAGTCAAATGTATCTTCAGCGTGTTCAGCTGGAAGCATTGGCAGAGGGCATGGAAACTCTTCAGATGGCATTCTCACGACTCTCGGATCGAGTCACCATCCTCGAGGACAGATTGGTGGCCGCCAGACGTATGAGTCAGAACAAGTGCCAGCTTCAGCTGATTCAGCAATCAGTGGTGCCCAATTTGCACACTCTTGATGATTAGCACGCCACACAAGGCTTTGTTTCTCTCAGATGCGAAATACGCACTGAGCTTTTAAGGCACTTCGGTGCTTTGTAGTAGGTGTCCCTCGAAGGGCATTCGTGCCAGCTGCCGAAGAGCAGCCGACTCATATGAGTTGAAGGCGCCCGCTGGACAAGAGACCTTTCTTGCCGCGAGTCAAGAAGATGATGACGGTGACGATGAAGATGACGATGATGATGATGATGATGACGATGGTGGTGATGATGGTGGTGATGATGATGATATTCAGAAGAAGAAAATTTAGAATAAAAGTAGGAATAAGAATCATACAAATAAAAGTGACAGTAAGAATGATGGTA